CTGGCATGCAACTATCGTATTTATTTTCCTTTTCCTTTATGTACTGCGGCACAGTAGCTGAGGTGTTTCCCACCTCAAATGACGTGTATAATGATGATATAATGATGATCAATCGAGCTCAAGTTCAAAGCGGCGAGCGAAACTGTCGTCTGACTTAATGCACCATGACAGTAGGCAAAGGAATTAGTGATCTTATCCGAAATTCACACCGGAATCAAGTCTGAAGAAAGTAAGGATCTTCCTGTGCAATCTTGCAGTCGCTCCTATGTATTGTGCACACTGAGTTGTCAGCGAGGCTAATCACAATGCCACCGAACCCACCTCCAAGCGACTCACTGATAATGCCACAAAAAACAGCTACCGTCTGACCATACAACGGTCGGCACAACCTATTCTCTTAACCGCAAGTGCCTCGGATCGTTGCTGAGAACCGAAATACTTTCCTGTATGTACACGAATGCCCAAGGCCTCCTCAGCAAAATCGCCGAGCTTCGGTTGCGCCAGGAAACGAACGTTTGGGTCTCATATCCATAACCGAGACTTGGTTGCACTCATGGATTACGGATGTCGAGATCGCGATTCAGGGTAGGTCCTTGTTCCGACACGATCGTCCAAGCAGGGTAGGGGGTGCTATCCTATACTATCGTAACGACTTACAATGTGAAACACTGGATGATCCCGAGACACGGGTCACCAATTCGCTATGGTGCCGTTTGCGTCTCAGACCCAACGGCAACTGCTTCGTGAAGTCGTATATCGCTCCCCATCGTCCACTATAAATATAGATTCCTACCTAATATCATCACTGACGAAATGCTTACTCCCAACTTACAGCCACATTCTTATCTCCGGCGATTTCAACCTGCACAAATTGGAAACCTCCGCATTCCCCAGTGAAGCATACGAGGCCGAACTGCAAAACCTAATCGTAAGTATCCCGCTCTACAATCACATCAGCTCACCTACCAGGTTCAGAGTTGATAACAAACCATCGATACTTGACTTCGTCCTTACAAATGAGGAACTCATGATCGACAGGCCATTTATGGACACCCCACTAGGGTTAAGCACTCATGTCACCATACTTTATAACTATGTGTGTTACGCTGAATATCCGGAAAAACTCCCCGAACTCACAGTTACTATTACACATTATACATCTTGAACAACCTATATGAGACGACAGATAGGGAGTTCTTGAAAAGATGGCTCACCTGATAACGCCTGGATTTCATTTGTTGGACGCTTCATCATTCTAGTCGCAACTGCTTCGGAAACAAAGTGGGTTCGCTCCACCGATTCCTCTTTGTTCATCAGAAGTAGATCTTGCATACTCATGGCAAAAAGGAATGCAGCTTGGCACACTTACAGTGCTCATCCTTGTCCTGAAACTTGGAGCGATTACGTGACCCAGCTCAACCGGTGTAACGCTTGTCCGTGAGGACAAATTGACTCACCAATAACATTTGGACTATAAATTTGCCAATTGCAGGAAACTCCTATACAAGCATGTTGACACCATCCGGAAAGTGAAGCTCGGTCTTCCCCCACTTAACACGCCAGTCGGAGTGACAGAGAGTGCCGAAGAGGAAGCCAACACCCTACGGATGCAGTATGCCCCAATCTTCCAAAGAGACGTGCGCCAATGTTGCATACCCACATCCCTATCGCCAACTTCAACACTCACAAACATGGATTTTTACTGCTGCAGCTGTGTTGAAGAAACTGCTCTCATTGCGCACCTACAGTTCTCTTGAAATCGATTATATTCACCCAAGAGCGCTGAAGGTAGTAGCAACAGCGCTGGCCAGGCTGTTATCGCATTTCTTCCAAACTAGCTTCGACAAACACATTGTGTCTACCATTTGGAAACATGGCTTAATCATTCCAATTTTCAAAAGCGGTAATCGCTCGGAACCTGCCAACTATCGCTTAGTGGTCCTCCTCCCTGTGCTCTCAAACGTGATGGAGACAATCAACGCTGGCTTTAGTAGACCATCTAGAAGGCCCCAACATCATGACACCCGAGTAACACGGTTTCCGTCAGCACCGTTCATGCACTACCAACCTACTGATTGCACGCAGTAGTTGTACGGAAGCGGCTGATGAATGCAGAAGGACAGGCGTCATTTATCTCGAATCTCCAAAGCCTTCGACCGACTGGACCACCGCATTCTGCTTCACAGGTTTGAAAGCAATTGCGTTGATGATCCTGCCCTTGGGTGGATTGGGAATTTTCTGTAAGATCGACAACTGCAGGTCAGAGTTCGAAATGTGCTGTCGGATCCGATAAATATCGAATGTGAAGTTTCACTAGGATCAGTTCTGGGGCTGCGTCTCTTTCTCATGTTCATTAACGAGCGTACGCGCTTGATTGCCTCAGCTTTCTTGTCATTTGCTGATGATGTTAAGATGTGGTGGACGATCGTCGACCCAGGAGATCACGATGTACTTTTGCGAGACCTGGGCAGAGCGTATGATGGGTCACTCCATAATCTGCTCCAGTTCAACTCTGGGAAATGTAAGATTGTTCACATTCGCCACCCCGCGGAACTTCACATACAAGTTTAGAGATCAAGTCCTGCAAGCAGTCATCTAGGAGCGCGATCTTGGGTTACTAGTCCAGACTGATCTGGGCTGCTCAGAACTATCTGGGGCGTCAAAGACTGGGAGCCAACACGTCATGTTGCGGGAGATGTTCGGGCGGTTTGATCCCTCTGTCTGTTCCCAATTGCTTAACACCTACATGCAGCCTTATGTGGAGTACGCAATCTAGGTGTGGCAGCCCTGGCACAGACAAGACCTTGCAGCACTGGAGACTGCAGAACGACGAGTCACGAAGCACGTCAAAGGTTTGCCCAATATTTCTTATCAACTTAGACTGAGGACGCTAAAATTATACGGTGGACGGTACGGGCACATACCGCGACTGCCGTCACCTATTACAACAGAGCCACGACACAAATTTGTGGAGCCACCAGTTCAAATTAGCCACGCACTACTGTCGGCTAGAATATCGACGGAACTTATACTCTCTTCCTGTGTGTCAGCGTTGGAACGCCCTCTCAAACTGCGTTGTTTCCGCTCTGACTTTTCCTGTGTTTACAAAACGTCTTAAGGTTGCCCTAACCCATCTGCATTACGAGCTATAGCCTGTGTCTCGACAAATGATATAAAGCGACGAACGTTGCACAACCAGAATTACCCTACACAAATGTGCTTAGCTCTTGCTGGCTGCCTCTGTGTTAACACTGTGATGAGTCCAACAAATTGTTTTCATTTTATCCCTTGTTTTTTGTTCATCATGTTGTGGTTCTGTTCTTGTCCATCCTACGGGACTTTGTCCGTAGTATACCCTTGTTCCATTGTTCATAGTGTGCATTTTATCTGCGCGGTGGAGAGTTGGAACTCACTACCCTCGGGTTTCGATCGAGGGACTAAGACCACTGCGATTGAGCAGCAGTCTATGTGGCCTAGGGGAATACCTGTGACATAACGTGGTTCATGCTCTATGCCATGCATATTTCCAACTTGTAGGACAGGGATTATTTCCGGGGACACGATATTTTTATACTGATGAACAGTCGTCCGATGACAAATCATGCTAGCTTGGACATTTGCTGATTTTCAGAGAGTAACGTGACGCCTGATTTGATTAATTTCTTAATAGATTCGACACATCTACACTTAGTCGGATCTCCAATGGACATCCGTGTACCTCACGTTGCTGTCCATAAATTAACTTTTTCCTTCTTATCGTTATTCTCTTTTCCCCTTTACATTTCTCATCGTCATCGATTATTCTCTTGTTGGTCGCACGGCTTTTTTCACTCCGGTATTCACCGTACCCCGTTGCTCGCATCCTTTGTTGAGCCGAACGTGAATCACGTGAAGGACTTCACACGCGATGTTGTTGACTGCTTCTCAACTGTGGGGTCGGAATGGTGGGGTCACTATTCATCTGGAAACGTTGGATTCAACTGACCAGCTGACTGTCCACTACAACTTGGAGCAGTGTTCAGCCCCCCTGCCCACCGAGTAGCGAATAAATGCATTACCAAATTAACTTTCACAGCACATTTGCTACCTTAGTGATCGGCTTAAGGATTTAGCCTCATTTTGCCATTGTACCGTTTTGTCCAATCTGGAGGAGTGTATTGCGATTTCAAATTCATCCCTTCCTACTCAGTTGCGTAAACATTGTATCTCAACCTGCAACGTAGTACTTACAGTGGCAGCTTTTTGTGAAATTTATTTGTTGGGTGTGGCTGTTGTCCCTGTGTGGCGATTCATCGAGTTGGAGAAATCACAGCTCAGCACCGGGCTCACCTCACCTGACTGCTCCGCAGCTTGGAACTGTCACAGTTATCTAACTTTTATATGTTCCAGCCATTGTACGACTAGTTACGGCGTTCCTTCTTCCCTCGGCGTTAGCTGGTACTCTGACAAATTGCCACTGTGAAAACCCATCCGAGTGACGTCGTGCCTCGGGAGCTACGTTTCCATAGCGAGATCGGTAGAAACTAGCTGCTTTTTTCACTGTCCCTAGTTACCGTAGCGGCCGAACAAATGTTAAACTAACCACGCCCCACGAGGGCTAATCGCTAGCATTGTACACTTTTGATCTTAACCTACACGCGTGTCCTGGTTAGTAAGCAGCTGGGCTCCTGTGACCGTTTTGCCTGAAGGCAATTTAGGACTCACGACTAGGTTCGTAACAATCGAGTGGTGAGCTAAAGCTGAGCAGCGCAACAATTCTGTCTCGAAGCTTAGTGCTTTTGTGTTACTGAGTGAAATTACTAACATGTATTGCTCAATATGTAGCGTCCAAACTACACAACAACAAGCTGGTAGGAAGTGGGTGAAAACTGCGCCACAAACAATCCGACTCCTAGATGTTCCTATTAAGTTTACATTCACTTAAAATTCACTTCATTCTTAACCGTGCTTATTTTCATCCATTTAACTCTTTCACAACCACCTCTTTTACTGCTCTCCAGTTAACCACACGGACAAAACGAGTCTTCGTTGGAGGAGTGGCTGCACAAACCACAAATGAGGAGCTGAGCGAGTACTTTAGTCAGTACGGCAAAGTAAGTGAGCCCTCCTTCCTCTCTGTGTGTAGAAAGATTGTAGCATTCGTTAAATGTACTATATTGAGGGCATTCCACCTAGATTTTCTTACGAACATTTTTTATGGAATAACTCTTGAACCATTGCCAAACACGGTGGTAACTGCTCAAGGAGTTCCTGTCATTTCTAGTATTTGTGTGGTTGCTACATAGGAGGCGTTTGGCACCAACCGTTATGGTTGTATTATCAGTTTAGGTATTAGTCTGGTTGACAGGCCTCCCCTCCTATCTCAATCGCTACCCTGTACACTGTGATTTAAGTCTCTTGTCAGCCGGCAGGCCGCGTAAACTTTGAAGCCAACTATTGTCACAACAACACGCATGGCATGACAAGTTTGTCGCTTATCGATGAGCAGGAAGTAGTAGCGACTGACTGATCGATCGGGTGGAGCTCTACCTACTGGAATGTTACGATTTGCGCATACGTACACAGACTCACACAGCTGATCAGTCGGAAAATTGGCAGATATATTTTTTCACTGTCAACTTTCTCTGGAGTATAAGTAAACGGTTCACAGGTCTATGCTTTTTTCCTCGTATATCTGAGTGTATGATCTGGAGAAAAACATGTGCGCTTCGTTATTCCAACGCCGCTCATCGATGTTTGACATGAGTTCTCTGTGCCATATCTGGTAGCATTTGTGTAGCCTGCGGTGTTATTCTTTCTGCACTCAGGTCGTGTTTTGTTCGACCGACAAGCTGACCCAGGTAATTCGCGGTTGATCAGCACATGAGTCATGGAGCGTGACTCGGACGCGGACTGATCACCATCAAACAATGCTGCTTTTGCATAAATCTTGTTCACTTAACTATCGGCTGCTGGTGAATACATGTGCGAGTTATCAGCGTGCACGCTACTGATGTAGGGTGTACGAGACGCATGCACAGGCTAGATAGGAAGCAGGGTCAACCGGCAGATTTCAGAGCGTAGAGTTCACCGACAGCCACCCTTACTTCTGCATACCCAAATTCCGCGGGGACTGTTCGTCATGACGGATGAGGACTCACTGTGGGTTTCTCGCAAGTCCACCTTCTGCGGACGGATTGTTACACGCAATCCTAATTGTTGCTGCATCAGCACTACGTTGGTACGCATTACCGACGCTTCGCTGTCGCGCAACCACCACCGGTCGCCCACGTGGGCTAAGAATACTGTGAGGGTCACCCTGCCCCTTCGCATGCTCGAACCCGCGCCGCAAGATTACGGCAAGCTCCTTAGCTCTAGGCTATGGGCCGGCAGCAGTTGATGCTGCAATGTATTTTGAAGTGAGCCGGTCACGGGGAGCTTAATTGAGGTGAATAAATGTTTGATTGTCATCAGGCCTCAACGTTACACTTCATGTTTGTCCGCGATGGTCAGGTGGCGAGATTCCAACCCCGGACGTTGGGATGCCAGCCGAAGCTTATGCTCGACTCGCCACAGGCAACGTTCGTCACAACTGTTAATGACTAAGTAGACGTCAGTTTTAAGCACACAGTGTGTGAATAGATTGCGACACACAGTCGCATTGATGCGAACGTTGGGCGGTCCGGTCACTGGTACCGCATCTGAAGCAGATGATAGTTAGCCGCTCGGAACACCACATTTCACGATCGCTCTGGTGCTTGTTGACATTCCTCGGTGGAGAACGAAGTAGTGGCTTCGACGTCGTCAGTTGATGCCGCCACCCTCCCACCATATTGTTTTGTTGGCGTAACACACCAATTTTGTGACTCGAGTATCAGAAGCTGCCAATTTCCCATGTTTATCTGCCTCATATACGGTCCCGGTAAGTGAAGCGACGTATTTTGCCTAACCGTTGTACTTGATAATTTCAAGCCTACTAATAGGGATGAAAACCAATGCCTTGATCTCTGGGACTCATTTTGTAAGCAAACTTGGAATCACGGAGTCCCAGACACGAGGCTGCCGCAGCGGAATTAAGACTTTCTTTTTCAGCTCACCTACTTACACCGACGTTTTCAACGCAATTGTTTGCTTGCGAGTATGCAATCAAAAATGGCTAACGTTGATACAACAGCTCAGCTGCTCGGGTGGTGATCGTTTCGTTCCTAGCTTCCTGTAACGCAAACCTAGTGTATGTGTGTGTTTGTGTGTGGTTGACATCAGTGGTTTGATCCCATCGTTACCACTTTCCCTCTTGACTTTATTGCATCTGCGCTGTTCTTGAACGTCGAGCACTTACCGGAAGTTGACTGCTCATGTCTGAAAGCGGGTCAAGCAGAAGCTTGTATCCACACACCGGGTTGGTGGCGGTAGTAGAAATTGGTAGAAATTGTCAATCCACTGCGACAATTTTCTTCTTCTCACTTGACTGCCACCACCAGCGGTACCGATTTTATGTATACACACACACACACCCACACACACACGCACGCACACACACTAGCATCCCAATGTCAATCCGAAGCGAATAACGGAAATTTGAATACTGTGGAGTGACATCAGCCCATGCAGTCTGATCGCTTGCGATTTTTGCTGGTGTGAGGAGGTTAATACTCTGGACTAAGGAAATCTCATATGTAGCCACACATCGTGATTGTAATGTTCACTGGTCTAACGTTGGATGATGCGTAGCTAATGATCCCAAACACAGGATCTCAACAACTGTGGTACTATTCAAATATACAGTCAAGTAAATTAGACAAACCTCAGTTGTTCATGATCTCGGTGTATTGTCGTGGACAACAAATTACAATTACACATCAGAGGAAAGTGCTGTTTAAAACAAACAACTGAACACATTATAGATAGCATTCCACCAGTCTAGCGCGAAAATTCAAATTTAAATAATAGACGAGCAAAGAATAATTCGCCTAAGCTTTGATGTTCCATTTCCTGCGATAAACAATTATATTATGTTACTTTGCGAAATTTTTTCTTTAGTATGCATTTACCTAAGAGAACACAATTAGATGTGTGAATGCAGATAAGCGCTCCTTTGCGACGGACGAAAAATGTCAAAAGCCGACGTTTTTGATGGATGAACGCCTAGCAACGTGAAGGTGTGTATGTATGGCTGCAAGCCACTTACTAAGCATATCCGCAGCACTCCAACAGTCAGAATTTAGAAATTATGTCCGAACACGTAAATTCCTACTTTGTGTACCAAATCTTGGATATTGTTTATTAAAACACAAACATAACTCGAAGAAAAATTAATTCATTAAGCTGTTACCCACTTTTTAAATGTCAGTTAAACGTGTTTTCACACCAATGATTTTATAAAAAGCCTTTCCATATATCCATTTACAACAGACTGCCCATAATATAGACGTGTAAAAGTATTAGCAAAGTCAATGAACAATTATTGAGAGTCCAACCACAGAGGGAGGAAAAAGTGAGGAGTTAACAGAAGGCACACCTCTAAGTAAACATGGTGTCAAATTTGATGACCGAGAAATTGATAACTTACAACGCCATTGAGATGGGGACATTAGACCTGGTACATAGGGCATCTGTTACTCGAAAAATAATTACTGTTAAATCTCGTTAGTGAGGAAATCAAGGTGTAAATCAGGTGTGAACCACTGGACCAGGGTGTGGCATACAGAGGGTAACGGTGATCACATTATCCGGGTTTTTTGAGGACATGGCTCGGTGCACGAGCGGTCCTAGCAACCAGGATGAGAGGTCATTTGAATGAACGGAAAAGTACAGTCTGTGTCAACCGACTGCACGTTTCAGATGAATTTTCCAATCAATGCAAGACTCCGCTGCAGTCATATTTACGGATTGGGTATAGACACAACGGACCTCAACGAATGCCGAACGAGATGAGTGGTAGTAGCGGTATTGGTAGTGGTTGTTTTAGTTGGCTGCATCCGTTCCCAGCTTCACTCGCTATCGTTTTCGTGACAACGAACGGTTACATGACATTGTTGTTAAAAAACCATGGAAAACTTACAATACACCATCCACTACCACTCACACAGACACCAACACATCCAGCGTAAGTCTCAGCCTCGGCCCACACTCGTCCACCGCTCATCTCGCTGATGTACATTTCTATACTTATGGATACCAGACGTGCGTAGCGCAGTGGCCTGCTCGTAAAGCCTTCAATGATAGAGTTCCTTTTTGAGCATAACAGTGCTTGGTTAACTGTCTACCACTTTTTTGCCCAGCACGATTGGTAGCTAGACAAATGAATGACACATCGTTGACTTTAGAGCAAGCTGCTATCTTGATCCAACAAAATGGAGGTACTGGGAGGTACTCTATTAATGTTCACATCCGGTGCAGCAGAATCTGACCTATAATGCGAGAATGAGCGTCAGTCATTCGGTAGTAGACACGCACCGGATGCGCATGTACACCTCAGTCGCAGACAGTGCGTTATATATCGCACAGCAGCCTCTGCGTTGGCGTAGATTGTGAGCTGACGCGTGTCTGCGTCTGCTGACTTAACAAGTTCAAGCACTACTGGTGTTTCTGTTCCTCCAGACTACCATGATCGCAGATTGCGAGTCAGCCGGATAGCCCGTTCCGGGTGATGTTGTCTGATGATTGATATAGTCGGCATTGTGCGTGGATATGTTGCTTAACCGACTTGAAACACCCTCGAGGCACTGATGCAAAAGGGTAAATGTGTTCATAACGTTGATCATTCAAGTGGACAGCGCATGGCTATGTTAAATTTACCTCGAGTTGCGTTGAGTACACTTCGTTGAGAGTAGTTGTTAATAGACGGACGTTTTCATTGCGATAACGACATTTCGTTTACCAGCTTCCACTTAACAACGATGACACTGGATTGATAGTTTCGAGCAACCATTCATTCGTAATGCTTGCTTACTAGACATTTTATCCAGATATTTCTCAATCTGTACTTTGTGACTATACAATGCGGTAATTCAAGTCCAAGAGAAAACCTTGCGTCAGCCCCAGCAGATTAATGCACCACTTGCTTTGAATGCTTTTCCTCACCTCGCCTTATAGGCCGAAACCATCGCGACCA